TGTTCTGGATATGTAGAATTCTCCCATAACTAAGTATAATATGATCTTATATTTTCAGAGCATAGTCACATAAATGTGATCTTGTCAAAACACTTCTTAAATTGTATGTATTTTACACAGCAGTGTTCCTGCTTGTGGAACAAAGGATGCTAAACCTAATTTGATCTCTCCTTGCTGCTTTGGTCTTAGCACAGTGCCTGGCAAATAGGAGGTGCTCAATTTTGGATGGCTGGAGGGGCAACTGATTCAGGGTCATTATTCTGAGCATCCATCATCCTAGCTTTTTGAGGACAGATGTCATGTCTTACTCATTTCTATATTCCTATTTCCAGCTACTGGCAAAGCCCCTAATTCATAAATGGTGTCCTCTGATATTCAAAAACTGCTTATTGAATAAATTAATAGGATAGTAACATTTTTATGATATAAATGGTCTCCAAGGCACTATGCTTTTAAAATTCTTCTGCCTCTTCCTCCTCCACAGCTATCAGCCAGCATCTACTCTCTCCACCATGTATTGTCTTTCTGAGGTACGCTGAGCCCCCACCTCCTCCCCCATAGACACCAACTATCTGCTTTTAACCTGGGCTGGAAACCAGAAAAAGAAGATCAGCAACCATATCTGCCTCAATTCCATGTCAAAAAGTTTTAGGATAAGGGCCTGAGGGTGACCCTACCTCGACTGAAGAAAATGCCTGTGCTTTCTGCCTGCTGTCCTCGGAGGGATCTGAAATCGCTTGCTTACTTGTCCTCTTCTATATTGTGCTGGATTTAATAGCTCTTTGGAAAAAGGAAGCTTCCTTCATCCTAATTCCATCCAACCATGACACTTAGACCTTAGAACTATCTAAGCTACTTTTGCTTAGATATCAGATTTGGTCTCGCCAACATCGGGGTTACATGCACAGTTTTCTCCTTGTTGCAAGCACAGAACTCTAAAACATGTGGCGAAACTGATGGGCACAGAAGGCAGACAAGCAGAGAAGACATGGAGGAGCCTTTGTACTAAAAACCGGAGCCATTCCTGGGCGAATTCACCCTGGGACAGAGCCCGAGCAGCAGCCCCTTACCTGTGGGGAGCACATCGTTGGATACGTCCCCTTTGTCCCCTTTGTCCCCCTTCTGCCCTGCTGGTCCCTCGTTTCCAGGCAAGCCCAGCTCACCAGGGTCTCCCTTTTCCCCTGGAGTTCCTGTGGCTCCAGGTGGCCCTGAGGGAAAAAAGATTTATTAGCTTGTTGTGCAGGAAATTCTGGAACTCTACTTTCTCATCTTGTACTTCGTAAAGGTGGAGCAAATTCAGAAACCAAATCCATCACACTTCATAACCGTTTTAGGCCAGCAGTGTGGTATAAATTCATGAAAGAATAGTCATTCCAGGTGGTTCTGTTGAATTTGTTTAGAGACATCTGGCTGGGCCAACAGGTTGAAAGAGGAGTCAACCATGAGAGGGCCAATCACAGCAAGAGCAGAGACAAGGTAAGGCCTTACCAGAGTCTGCGCCCCGCCCCCACCCTGCAGGGAGCGGGGCCGTCCCGCACTGTGAGGCTGGGTGTGGTCACCTGTGTCATTGGTCATGTTCCTCACAACATATTGGAGCGGTAGGCTGGTCAGTTATCCTTATTCCCATTTTACAGAAGTTGGAACTGAGGCCTAGAGGGGCTACAACCAGTGCTGCTAAGTGAGCAGCACACATCTTAATTCCATCTTCCACGCCCTTTTCTGTGACATTTCAAGGCAAAATGCTTTTAATCAAAATAGCAAAACAGGAGCAGTTGCTTTAGGACGAGCATTACATTACGAGGGATGGTGCTAGTGTGAACCAAACGTAATGAATGAAATGTGTCTCTGCTCAGAGGAGGCACCCCTATGGGAGCTGCAGTCCTGCCACCAGACACAGCGAGGAATAGGCCAGGTCTACGCAGTGACTCATCTCAGCTTGGGCTGAGGGCAGAACAGCGTTCTGATCCCTGGGAGAAAGGAAGCAAGCTACGTGCACAACGTGACTGCCGGGGCTCACTGCTGGCAGGCGGTTTCCAGACAGCAGCACAGGGCGCGGGAACACCAACAAAGCCCAGCAATTTCGCTGAGGTGAGGAGACAAAAACTAGAGTTCGGGGAGGCAGAGGTGGCTGGAATTCGTGAGACAGGATACGGGAGAGGAGGTCGTTGTGTAGAGGGAGCGCTGGCGGACTTCAGAGAGGCTTCCTTGAGTCTTTGGCTGAGCAGTCGTCTCTGCAGGGAGAAGCGCTACACGGCAGGGAAAAGGATGAACAGAGAGCCGTTTGTTGCTCAGCTCTCAGAGCTTGCACAGGGCCGGGGTCTCATTCCCACCGGTCAAGGCAGAGTGCTCTCAGAATGTGGTGAGGCGTGGGAGAGAGTCCTTGGAAAGTCCTGTCTCAGGAGTGAGGCTGTATTAGCCCAAGAGTCCAGGCTGCTGTGGAGCCATCGCAACAAAGCTTAGAAGTAAGCTTCGGAAGGATTAAGCTGAGCAGTAGCTAGTTTAGCTGCCTGCCAGAATAGCCCCAAATTTGAATCAGCTAGTCAATGTAATGCAGCCTATGAACAGTTTAAGAAAGAAAAAAAACTCACATGATCATCTTGATGGATGCAGAAGAGACATTTGATAAATTTCAACACTTATTCTTAAGAAAAATTCTCATCAACCTAGGAACAGACAGAAACTGCCTCCATCTGAAAAGGGGCTTCTACGAAAATACCTACAGCTAATGTCATTCTTAATGACAGAAGGCTAAACGCTTTCCCCCTAAGATCAGGAATAAGACAAGGGCACATACTCTCGTCACTTTTCTTTGACTTTACACTGTACTGAAGGTCCTAGCCACTGCAATGAAGCGAAGGAAAAAGAAACAAAGGCAAACAGACAGGAAAGAATGAATTGAAATCGTCTTCATTTGCAGATGACATGGGTAGTTTATGCAGAAAATCTATAAAAAAGCTACTAGAACTCGTGAGCACCTAGGGACATGGTGGCCCTAAGGCGGAAAGTGATTGCCTAATATTGTGCAAAGGTCTTGCCAGATATGGGTCAGTTAACAAGATACCCTATTGTGGGGGCCATTTGCTCATTTTGACAAGAGCCTCCTGGAGATACTGCTCCATAGAGAGATTGTTCAAAGTGGTAGAGATTTCAGGCAACAAGGAAGAGCCAGAGGCATGTTTTAGGGCAAAACTTTACTTCCTCTCAACCTCCATAAACCAAGAGGGCTCAGGGTCAATTGCTTTTTCTAATTATCCTGCCAGTCCCATGCCCCTTCTTTCAGGTTCTAGCTAAGGTACAGCTGAGAGACTGCCCATTCACCCCTCTCCCATGCCCCAGCAGCGTGGCCCATCCCCATTTTCAAACTGTCATCCTCTGCCACCGCAACTGTCCTCCCTTCAGCTTTAAAACAAAATTTGAACCCCAGCCCAAACTTCCTACCAGCCCCACAGGGTTCCAATGTAACCGTCCCAAGAGAATCATAGACGTCTTGGTTGGAAGGCACCTTAGAGGTCGTTTAGATTAACCTCCCATCCAGCTCTGAAAGCCTCTCTCCACCACCCGATTGGCTCTCCTCAAGCTCTTTCAGCAACGGGAAGTTTATTATATCACAGCACACCACAGAGGCTGCCGGAACACTCTGCACGGCCATCAGAGGCAATTACTCCCTAAAACATACACCTGGAGCGCTTAGCACCTGTCCTGTACGCCAAGGGAGTGACACATATTCAGAATGGATTCTGCTCTTCCATATTCAAGGGACCCTACACAGACTATCCCAGGGAAGACAGCAGTGTAGGAAAGAATCTTAAAGTGCTGATCACTGTTAGAAAATGTAGGGAACAAAGAAACGTTTGCTAGGTTTTAGCCAACTGTTAAAAAAATAAAAAATCTCAGCAAAAACCATGCAGTTCAACTGCTGATGGAGGTCAGAGGCCCTGGGTTCCCTGCCTCTTCCAGGGGTGACCTTGGGCATCTTGCGCTGATGGAGTAGCTGGGGACACGTGGACAAGGATTTGAGGAAGAACAGTGGAAGCCCCTCCACGGTGGGCGCTGGCTCTGCCGTGAATCCAGTCACACAGGGGCAAAGGAGTGCCTCTCAGGTGGGGCAGTCCTGTCGCCGTGGGTCCTCCCCGCCCACAGTCATCAGGACACCTTGCTGGAAAGTGGTTCACTCACTGAAGGAGAGCCCTTTATCAGGGACCTCTGCATGAGAGGACATTCTTTTGTCAGTGTTTTAAATAGGCAATCTGGTGCATTATCTGAAGGACACAAAAGACGAGGACGTTGCCATGGAGTCCAGCCTGCACAAGGCACCAAGTATAACTGAGCCCTTCTAAAGGTGTCGCGTGACCCACATTCAGCAATGCTCAGGGAAACGGTACCTGCTCGTTACTTCAGGGTTTTCTTTTTCAGGCATTTACTCTAGTTACAAAGAGCCCTTCCGCATCATCATTTGATTCCCCTTCTTTCTTTTTATCCCTTTCTCTTATGCCTTTTTTTCTCCCTTCAAAAAGGCCAGGTGTGAAATTGGAAAACGTTCATTCTGTAATGCAGCCGCTATACTGCAGCCCGCAAAGGGGCAGGATGCAGAGCTCAAGACACTGAGGACTTTTGCTGACGGATGTATTTTAACTCTCAGCTGGGTGTGCACGATCATTTTCCAGCTTTCATTAAGAAAGGGTGGGGGACGTTTAGTCTCCCTGCAGTCTTTGCTATCTTCGACAAAGTTTTTCCTCATCTTGGTTGGCCAGGCACTGGCTGCTGTGCATCAGAAGTACACCCCCACCTCATCAAAAGCAGCATCAGAGGACCCGAGTGTGGCACCTTCCATGTCGTCCTGACTCGGCCGTGCACGGTGTGCCCGGGACCCTGGCATGGTTCGTCCCATGACTCCCGGCCGGCCTGGGGTCAGCACATTCTGCCCGAGAAGAAAGGCCAGATTCTGCTCACCAGGCTCGTGCACTTGATGTGGCTCTCTTCTGTTTCCCTTCTCCAGTGGCGCCCACTCCAAACAGGCCATTTTCCCAGCTTTCGAGTTTGGGGTTGTGTGATTAGCTGGGGTCAACGCCGTCATCTTCACTGCAGGAGGTGAGGGAGGACATCGTATTTTTGGCAGGGCCATCTGTCACTGAGTGAGGTGGAGGAAAGGGAGCCAGAGGGTGTTGCACAAAACCCAGGTCTGGGATGAATCAGGAGGAGGGTATTTATTTCTGTTTTTATGGGGACTCGATTTTTAGAGAAGACACTGAAGCATTAACTCTGCAGTGAGAAAGCGAGAGGCAGATGGAGAGAAAGAAACTGCTCCATTTTGGGGTGCAGAATGTCAAACTTCGTGAGCTGCTAGTTGCACAATTGACATTTCAAGTCTACTTTAGGTCCAGTTTTTCTATCCAAATCTAAGTCGGTGTTTTCCAATAAATGTAGGCATTTCCACTCAGATTTCCTTCCCCATTCTTAGAAAAACAAAACAGTAATATCTAACACTAATATAGCACTTGCTCTATTCTAAGTGCTTTATCTTTATACTAATTAATCTTCCTAAGGACACTATGCGGTCAATACTATTATTGCTCCCATTTTACAGATAAGGTAACTGTGGCACAGAGTGATTAAGTAACAGCTAGTAAGTGGAAGAGCCAGGAACAAAACCAAGCTTTCAGGCTCTTGCTCTGTGCTGCTCCACGCTTGCTCTTAGCATTTCTAAGGTCAGAAACTGAAGGCTGTCTTGATATTTCAGTCTCCTGTTGGTCTGGAGCACTACACTCTGATTTCATCAGGTTACTCTTCTCAAGAGCCAGTGGTGGCTCCTGCAGACTGAGAGCTGAAGGCCCTGGCCCCACCCCAGCCTTGCCTGGATCCCCTGGGGTACCCAGGACCAGCCTCACTGGCAGTTCCTCTGGGCGTGGCCTTTCTGTCCTCCCCTTCTCTCTGCTTACTTCCAAGAGGCTGAATCCACGTCTCTCCCTTGTCCTCTACACCTGGCTCTATTGTACAACCCATTCTCTACACAGGGTCCTATTTGTTCACTATCTGCACAGGGAAGTCCAGATTTTTCTTCTGGCAGCATCCCCTGCCATGTAGGATAAAGCATCTTCATATTGGAACAACCAGTTACTGACTCATGCTGTGTATAAACCACATCTTCTCTTTCAACTGGACTATAAACCCCTATAGATGGAAACTATGTTCTATTTTTGTCATTCATTCA